TTGTCCGGGCTAATCCCAAGTCGACTTTGAGGGGCGGAACGGTTAAAAAAAATAAAAATAAAAAAAGATAGGTGTGTGTGTGTGTGTGTGTGTGTGTGTCTGTGTGTGTGTTATTGTTATCTATATTCTAATCCAAGTTGACAAAACCGATAACCGAAGCCTACAAAGGAGAGCACATGGACAGATTGAACAGCGAATCAAATGGCTCTGATGTCATTCTTATCTCATCTTCTTCTGATATGCTGTCACATCAGAGCCGTTGGTAATATTGTATCCGGCCCTGCTCCGGTTGCTGTTAACTATGCGAGGTACCGGGCCACGCCCCCTTGAGGACAGGGAGTCGCACTTCGCCGGATTACTAACCTGAGCTTCCATCCAGGTCGGTGCTCTTGAGGTTTTTGGCTTCCAGGATGACCACGGTTAGTTTGCTGGATGTCGGAACGTAACGCAGAGAGAAGCAGATCTCACCGAGGTTCTCCTCCTGGATTCAGAAGAAGTAATCGGGTGACGTTCAGATGGCTGCCGACTGCCCGAAGACAGCTGAGATAGGCTCCGGCCCAAACCACGACCCACAGGAGGATAAGCGCTTCAGACTTGGAGTCTCAACTAGGTTCAGGTTGTCGCTACCTTATTTTCACTACCAAAAGGCACACTTAAAAGTCCCCAAAATGGACGGGGCGCCTAATCATGCGGGTGGCCTTGTGTGCGTTCCAAAATCTGCGAATGCTGTTATGCGACTTCGATGAGGGGTCCGCTTGACCGACTGTTGTTGTGCCGACACGCCGGTTAGATCGAGGAAAGGCGGATGTCACTGAGAGGTGCCATTTAATACGGTGCGCCGTACGGTCGTGAAAATACGGGAACGAGAACTAGGCTTGGGTTGAGGTCTGACCTCCATGTCGGCAGGCTCGTTGAGGTCCCTCCACTCCTCGATGACGTGATTCCAGTCTACTTGCCCGAGTTTTAGGCGCAGTTCTCCAATGATGTCGTGTTTGGAGAAGCGGTCAAAGTCGAAAACTTGAAGTACAGCCGTCGACTTCATCAAATTGGCCTTGGAGATCTGACAACAAAACAACAGAGAGATTCAAGCTTGAACGACACTTTGCTTCTCGTCTCCTTTTGTACATCAAGCGACGTCGGACCACCTCAGAATCGGGGCCGACATGCTGGAGTTCATGTCCCAGACTCCCCAAAGGCGAACGGCGTGTCTTCTGGTCGTACCTGGAAGGTGAAGGTCTCGTTGAAGGTGGCGTTGAGCGTGTTCTTCAGAACTTTGGTCTCACAGGTCTTTGTCTTATCGGGCAGGAGGTAGACCTTGACGTAGGGGTCGGAAGTTCCTCCCACATCCATGGCCTTCAGGCCGCTCGCTTGCTTCACGCCCACCATCAGCTACACACACACACACAGACACGCAATTTCGTTGGGTTCACTTGAAAGGCACGCTGCTCAAATATTTCCGTCACCTCGGAGAGAGCGGCGTTGAACTCCAGCGAGTACAGCAGTTTGCCCCGCGGCTGCTCGGAGGCGCCGGAGTTGACGTCGCCCGCGCCGGGTTGAACCTGATCGCAACCGTCAATATTAGGGCGGTCCGTGGCAACGTGGCGACGGTCTGGGCGTTCTTCTCACCAGCTTGCCTTTGGACTGGCCGCCGGGCGACCGGAGATTCACCAGGGGCTCCGGCGGCTTCTGCCGTCGTTTCTTCCGACGGCTTCTGAAGCAGCATGCGCACACGCAACACACCACCAGCAAGAATACGACCGCGCCCACCGCGGCCAGCACGTAGACGGCCCAGGTTGGCACTGCAACACGTGCGCACAGCTCAACGCCGACGCTCAACTCATCCCCTTCATCTTGCTGGAAGACACTTTGTAACGTGCATGACTGACACCGACAGGACTGGGGAAATAATGGATGATCCGACCCCCAACCCCATTAGATACTAAATCGGTTTTCAGTGGTGTCCAAACTACGGCCCAGGGGCCATTTGCATCCTGGCATTCATTTTTGAGCGGCCCACGACATGTTGTCCCCACCCCCCAAAAAAAAGCACCCTGACCACCAAGTGTAAAAGTATTGGAGAGTAAAACTTTGACCTTGTCCGAGAGATATTTTGCGTCCACAGGAGTAGACGCTACGGCTAAACTGCGGCTAGTAGACGTGGACAACAGGACAAGGCCCGCTCATCATGTGATTTGTTCCGTTTATTTTCGGCTCAGCTGTAGGCTTTTGCAGTTGCTATCCAAGCCGCTCCGGAACCTGACTGGTTTTGTCTCGTCCAAATAAAGATAAGCACTAGGCTAGTTAGGTTTAAGTTCTTGCCTAAATGTTTTTTTATGTTTTTCTGCTTCGGTCTTCATATCAGGCATGTGATATTGTGTGTGCGTGTGCATGTGTGTGTGAATGTGTTACCAACATGGAATTCTCTCGACGATTCCGTGAACGATGTCACTGGCTGACGTGTTCGTATGGAAGATGTCAGAGATGGATGATGATAATGATGAAGATGAAGAAGAAGCCCGCAACATGATGATGATGGTGAAAATGATGTTGAAGACGAGGGTTCTGGAAGTGAGAAAAGAAGAGCATGACCACGGAACTTCCGATGTGGTCATCTGCTCAGACTGCTTGGGATTTGGCAAAGATTTTTACTTGGAATCTGGTTCGGCGACAACCACAATTGAATGTTTATCTCGTTGGAGTCGACCCGAAACGGAATTCGTTTCAACTTGCTACACTAAAACCCAAATCCAGTCCAGTCTCGTCCCATCCAGCCCACCGAGAAGGTTTCACATCGAAACTCCTGTAAGGTGCTGCCTTCAAGAAGTGTTTCCTTTCCCATAGCATGTGTTCAGATGTATTTGAAAGGTGATTTGTTTGTCATGAAACGCATTAAATGATTTACTCAAAGCATTTTTTTAAAGGAGCTATTCAATCATACAATTTCAATGATATTTAATGCTTCGACATTTCCTCCCCCAAATTGGCTCATGAAAATGTTTCATAAGTCTATATACACTTTTATTAATTTCACACAAAAATTGTCAACGGAATAATTGTAAATAATCAAATCAACATACCATTTTACACATGCATATTTTCAAAGATGGCCACTTGACCCTCGTTTTCCCCCATATTTGGTTGGCTGAAATAATTATATGTAACGATTTCAATTCCATTTCGAACATTTTTAATTGTCTCGGTAAAGCGATAACTGCACGTGTACATTAAAAATAGGATCCGTCTTCATAATTGCTACTTCACCATATTTGACAAATATGATGAAAAAAAAATAGCATCCATTATTTTGAAATGAAACCCCTTCGATTGATCAAGAACAAAGAACAAAAAGTTGAACACTCTGAGGATGAAATGCCACGAAACCCAAAGACTGGACTGCAGAAGACCCTCATTAACAAACGCCCACGCCGAGCTCCAGCCCGGGGACGTTTGTGGCGTTAAGTTTTGAACAAGACAAACACGTTCCTTCGCTTGCTCCGTCGCACATTTGCCAAATTCAACAACGCAGAGTCAACATGACGTTTACTCACCGATGTCACGGGACGGTCCGCGAGGGACGTTGGTGAGGCGCTTTCACTTGGTCGCAGCTCTGCGGAGTGCGGCGAGGACTGCAAGGAAGCAAGCGAGCGAGCGAGCGAGGAAGGAAGGGAGGAAGCCACGCCGAGGGTGGAGAACGAAAAACATTTTAAGATCCATGAAAGAGGAAACGTCTCCTCCCTCCCGATATGCTCTCGACCGACCACGCTCATCGGTACACGTCGCTTCCTGATGCTAGTTAACAATTCTAGTCCAACACCAAGATTTAGTCTCAAAACTAAGTAGCTTTGGCTCAATATTCAGTCTGGGTTCTTGTCTGGTCTCACTTAGATCTCAGTCTAACTATATTTAGCTTTGAGTTTTACTCGGTCCAGGTACGAGTCCTAGTCAAGGATATAACGTAGTCTAACCAGGTCCAGCGTCTTCTCTCTATTACATTATTCCAAATAAGTTTATGTACTAGTCTGACTAGGTTTAGGTTCTACGCTAAATAAGGTTTTGTTCTAGTGGAACCAGGTCTAGGTTCTCGGCTAACGAGGTGCTGATTGCAAGTTAACTGGTCAGAGTACAGCTCTGTGCAGTTTCCTGTCTGACCTCCATTGCTGTAGATCCCACTCCAGCTAGTTTTGCGTCCTCGTAGCCTGGCTAGGTTTCGGTTTTAGGTTCAACTCCAACTCGGCTTCGTTTCTGACCTCATCAAGTTTAAATTCGAGTCAACCACGGTGTGGTTTAGTCAAAGTAGCACAAAGTTGGAGTCTGACTTGGTGGAGGCTGGGCCGAACTCGATGCACTACACCTAGGATATGTCAAGTCTGAGACGGAGTCCGTCGGGTGCGAGGTTTAGCTCACTATTTATAGACTGCAACCTAAATATGTCTAGTCCCACCAGGTATAGGTCCTGGTCTAACTCGGCCTCTGTTCTTGTCCTCCTTGGTTTAGGTTACATAACCTTTGTATACTTTCGAGCCCAACTTAGATCCTAACTTTAGTCGATTTCGGTCTGGTCTAAGGAGGTCCGGGTTCCAGTACACAGTAACTACGTGGAGGATTTAGTCACGTCTCACTGAGATTGTAGTCTTAACTCGGTCTAGGTTCCAGACCAACCAGGCGGAGATCGGAGTCTATTGAAGTTGATGCGACACTCAAGACGAGGCTAACCGAAGCTACGTTCGTCTAGTCCAGGGGTCTCCAACTCCGGGCCTGGGGGGGCTACTGTCCTGCCGGTTTTCCAGCTCTCCCAGGAGCAACACACCTGATTCAAATCATCAGGATCGTTCTAATGCTGCTTCAGAGCTGATCGTCTAAATCAGATGTGTTGCAGCTGGGGGAGCCGGAAAACAGGCAGGACAGTAGCCCTGCAGGCCCGGAGTTGGAGACCCCCTGGACTAGTCTGACGAAATCTTGACTCTCGTTTCACTCATTTGAGATTCTACTCTCAATAGGCCGAGTCCAATAACAACTAACAACCCGTCAAAAGTCGGTTTAAGACCTCATCTAACCAGGGTCAAGGGTCTAGTCTTAATAGTGGATCAGTTTTGGTGACATCTGAGCGCTTCCCGCAGAAAGGATATTCAATGTTCCCGCAGAAACAACATCCTCTTGAAACCTGTCCACATTCTGTCAAGTTGACTCACAAAAAGAAAAAAAAAAAAAACGCTTTGGAGAGAAACAGGCAAACGTGCCCTCAGCTGTTGACTTTTCTGCTCATATGTTCCAACGGACGCGGGGCAACGCTCCGGGATGACCGCTTTTCACTTGTCGGCTTCATGCGAAAAGGCGACAGCCTGATGATGTCACTCGCACGCTGGAAAAGCAAAAAAGACGAAATAAAAGCCACGGCGGCAAAAATCATTTGCATCCAGTTTTAACAGACGGACTCACTCCGAAAACAAAAGTGTACCTGAATGCACGGTGTTCATTTTTTTCTTCCCCCCATGAGTATTTCCACTTGTACGTGCTGCCCTGGTTGCTTTCGTGCCTTTCTCGCTGCTTCGGCTTCAATAGCTTCAATCCGCAGCAGCGGCGGCGGTGCCACGCCTGCTCGGCACACACGCGTTATTCAAACAGAGGAGCGGTTTGCTCTTAAGGAAACAACGGGCCCGCTGTCAATCTTTGAACACTTGCAATGGAGATTTCAATTGGCGGTGCTGCTTGGTGACGTTGTTCTCCAGCTGGACCCCCAAAAACAAAAAAGGGAAACTGCTCATCAAGACCTTGAAGATGAGTAGTCCACCTCAAACAAATAGAAGTTACGAGCCGCCACAACAGAACGTGTTTGCATAAAAAGAGCCAAATATCTCGTTTTTTTTTGTTTTTTTTGTCACGGCTTAACGTGCGAGATAAAAGCCACCCATTAAAGAGTTTTTCTCCCAACATGCCACATATTTGCAGTGTCTTCAAGTTGTAAAGCTCAAAAAAACAAACCAAAAAAAAAACAAAAAAACATCAAGCACAGTTATTGACCACATGATGATGTATTTATTTATCGACTTATTTTCGGAATTGGAATAAATGTCCTAAATGCCAGTAAAGTGCCGGCTCGAACGACGCGTGCTAAGCGCCGTCGTACAGGAAGTAGAAATAAATAAAAGCGATCCGGTGCGTTTCGAGCATTTCAAAACAACGCGCTGAGAACTTCGTGATGCATATTTCTGCTTACCAACACCATCACAAAGGCAACTGTTAACTTTCAATTGTAAATAATGACCCCCCCCAAAAAAAACAACAACAACGCCTACTCATAATAGTTCTCTTGATTATGTCAATGTGTACACAGAAAATTAAGAGTAGAAGAAGAAGCTTGGAGGTCTGGAGGAGTACGAATTTGGAGGTGGGACTTTCCCGCTGGCGCAATTTCCTGTTCTGGCGTGTGACGAAGATGACGACGACAAAGACGATCAGAAGTTGATGGCCTTGCCGAAAGAGGCGGCCAGGTTGGCTTCTCTGAACGCCTCTGACACCGTCTGCAACAAAAAGAGGCTTTCATTTTTCCACAGGTGTCCACACCTTTGCGGCAGGAGTTGCATCAAAAAGTCGAGGTCATGTGTAATTCGAGTCTAAGATTACAGTCTACCGCAGTCTTAGTGGAGGACGTGAGCCATGACGTACCGGGTGGGCGTGGCAGACTCTGGCGACGTCCTCACACGATGCGCCGTACTCCATGGCGAGGGCCGCCTCGTTGATCATCTCTCCCGCCCCCTACAGGCCACAAGCACGCGGCGGCGTTACGGCGGAATCAAAGTTGCGGCGCCGGCGGTGGCGCGGAGCTCGCGCGCCGCAGGCCTTACGCTTCCGAGGATGTGAGCGCCCAGCATCCTGTCGGTCTCCTTGTGGCTCAGGATCTTGACCAGGCCGTCCGTGTCGGCGTTTGTTTTGGCGCGGCTGTTGGCGGCAAACGGGAACTTGCCCACTTTGTAGGGAACGCCCTGAGCGGTGACAAGAAGAGCAGAAGTTTGCAAGCAGGAAAAATGACGTCACCCGGATCGGGGAACCTGCCCTAAAAATTGGACGACTGATTCATTTAAACCATCCGCTGTCTGATCCGCTTCCCCTCACGAGGGTCGCGGGCGTGCTGGAGCCCATCCCAGCCGTCCTTGGGTAGCGTGGGGGTCAGGGGGGCGCACAGCCAATCGCGCAATTTTAAGGGGTTCAATCAACCTACCGCGCATGTTTTTGGAATGTGGGAGGAAACCAGAGTACCCGGAAAAAACCCACACGGGCACGGGGAGAACATGCAAAGTCCACACGAGAAGGCCTGGGCCGGATTCAAGTAGACACACATGTAAATAGAGATGTTATGCATCTATTTGGACGACACGGCGTACGAGTGGTTCGCATGTCCGCCTCGCAGTACAGCGGTGCAGGGTTGGATTCCGGCCCCGGCCTTCCTGTGTGGAGTTTGCAGGTTGAAGGAAGACATTCGGTGGCAATCAAGTAGGACGAGCTGACCTCTTCCTTAAGCTGCTCTTCGGTCTTGCCCACCCAGGCCACCTCGGGGTGCGTGTAGATGACGGAGGGCACGCAGTTGTAGTCGATGTGCACGGCGCCGCCCGCCATGCCCTCCACGCAGATGATGCCCTCGTCCTCCGCCTTGTGCGCCAACATCGGCCCCGCCACCACGTCACCGATGGCGTAGATGCTGCCGCCACAAACACCGGGGGGGGCGCACGTGACATTGGCATTGTGCAACAAACTTTTTATTTATTTTTTTGGATTAAATCCAATCCTTTGGCAGGACTTTTTTTTTCCTCCCCCGCTTTGAAAACCAATTAAATTTACCGATGCAGACATTTGGATTCTTGGCAGTTGGTCTCGTTCCAAAAAGCTAATCACTGTTTTGAAGAAAAACTACCTGTATTCGATCGTACTATTCCTCACATTTTTCATGCCAAAATGTCTCTCTCGCTATGTGTCCCAAATGATGTTTCAGCATTTGCAACATTCTTTCTCAAGGTGCTATTTCAGTTTTGGGATCGATAAGAAGTTTCTCCTTTGCCTAAGAAAACAAATGCAAATGCACCTCAGTGTCATTTAAGGAAAGAAAAAAAAACAAGTAATTACATATATTTTCTAATTAATTTTTTATTGATCAAATTCTTTCAAAATGGCATGCATGTTAAAAAAATTTGCTAAAAGGGCGGCGGGGAGTTGGCAGTTGAATTTTTGTGGGATTCGATATGAAGCTCATGCGGGCCAGGTGACGAAGGGACATACCTTGGTACGCTGGTCTGGAAGCGGCCGTTGACGGGGATGCGCCCACGGTTGTCCAGCTGGATGCCCACGGTCTCCAGGCCCAGGTCGTGCGTGAACGGTCGCCGGCCGATGCACACCAGCAGCACGTCGCACGTCAGCGTCTCGTTTTTGCCGCCGGCCGCCGCCTCCACGCTGACACCGCAAAGAGGGAAATGCCATTGAACCCTTCCAAAATCGCCGCCCCTCCCCCAGATTTTGGAAAAATTCATTCACTGTTAATAACACTTTTGGCAGCCTCACAAATAAAACAACAAAAATTGTTTTTTTTAAAATAGGTAAAATGTAAATCATTCAGTAATGAAATCATTAACCATTGTGCTGCTCCTTGCGGCCAATAAATGATGACGATCAATACTTAATCTAAAGTCTGTATAGGCTCCTGCCACTGGGTTTGCTCGCTTATTATTGATGCGACTAAACGAAGCTTCAACCACGCATTTGGCCGCTGTTGGTTGGCTGAATGCTGCCTGAGAAAAGCCGAGATTAGCTACGCGGCACAGCCGAGAGCAGATGTAAATGTCGTCAATGATAATGCTTCATTTCATTGCGGCAATCAAAATATTGAGCAAAATTTATAATCAAAATCTGTAAGGCGCATATTAGTCGTTCCGTTCGTTGGCGGAGAAAAAAGAATCTCAAAAAGTGGGCTTGACGACGTGGGAGGGGGGTCACTCGTATCCCAAAGCAGGAGCACCGCGAGGCGTTGGGACGCGCGGATGTCAGCGGGACGGCGGCGAGACTCACGCCACGTCCATTTTTCCATCGGGCCTCCGGGTGGCGCCCAGCACCTTGGTGCCCAGCTTGAATTTGACGCCCTGCTTCTGCAAGATGCGCTGGAAGTTCTTGGAGATCTCCATGTCGATGCCCATGCCGCCCACGTGGCCAAGAAACTCCACCGCGGTCACCTTGGCGCCCAGACGCTGCCACACGGAGCCCTGTGGCGAGACGAGGCGGACGCCGGGTCAGCGGCGCCACCCCGTTGGGAGACGATGCGTCACGTGACGGCGGCGGTGGCGACGACGCCCACCAATTCCACTCCGATGACGCCGGCGCCGATCACGATCAGCTCCTCGGGAACTTTCCGCAAGGACAGCGCGCCCGTTGATGACACCACCGTCTCCTCGTCGATCTGCCCAGGCAAAAACAGACAAAAGATTTTTTTTTTCCCCTCCACCAATCTGCCATTTGCCACTTGCGTGGGTTTTCTCTGGAGTACTTTGGGGGATCATCCTCGGGCTTTTCAACCCTGCAACAATGAGGCGCTCTAAAGCTGCCATGGCACCAGAAAAGCCCGGTCCAGGTCCAATATTTTCCCCAACAGATTTCTCACTCTCGTCTTTCTGTGCATGATGTGCACACACTCACAGCGGACACTAAGGCGTTCTAAAGTGGCCACGCCAGCCCAAAACTCTGGTCCATATTCAGCCTGTCACGCCACACCTTTATTTTCTCCCTTCGCTCGATGCATTTTCGGGTATTGGCAG